CGCTTGGTACGTTTAGTGTTAAATTCCAATTCTGCGGCAAGAAAATTATAGCTGAAGTAATTACATAACAAGCGCCATAACAATTTCCAATTATTATCTAATATTTGGTTGGCAGTGGGCTAGCTTGAACAACGTCGAAGAAAATTCGGAAGGCGTTGCTCATAAGAGTTAAAAATAGGATCTTTCTATCATCCACAGTATAGTTGAAAAGAAGCCAAGACAAATATAGACCGTTTTATCCCCGTACAGCCTCTCAAGTTACTACGTAGTTATGTAATTCTCTTGTTTTTACAATATATCCAGCAAATATACGGAAGTTCGTATCATCAACCGAATTTAATTTTGATAATACAGATCTTTATATAAGCAAAATTGAACTATATTAAAAGTCCATTAATTTAGATATACGGTTACATTCAAATGCCAGCTAGTTAGAAATTCAATCAAGAGTAGAACATCGCAAAGATCTATTAAAATCCAGCAGCACATGTAACAATTCGAACGCACAGATTGGAAAGCAAATAATAACGTTCAACTACGGAAGGGCTGGACAGCCAAAAATCTAACGAAGAAGAACACTGTTCACACTTCATTAACACAAACACGCGATGTTTGGTGCAGGTTTGCACTCTGATGAATTCGTTCACTAAGCATGTAATTCCTACACGATTTATTTGATTCATCGAATATTTGTTTTTTTTTTTTTTTTTTTTTTTTTTATATTTCCATCACTAGTCACGTGTACGATATGGAACATTTCGTTTCTCTCTATATATCCCACTGTTTAGGAGGAATTCAACGAAGAAGACTTTTCGTGTATTTCCTAACCATCTGAATCCGAAATCACTTTACGGTTGTATCATGGTGTACTCGGCGTTTACTTACCATGGCTACAGTTGGTTTGTAAGAGGATGGTACGAGATGGTCACAACGAACCAACTGTCCGAATCATAGAGGTGAACTTGTCTAAGTAACTTTGGTGGATCTCCCCCACTACATGGCTGGTGCTTGAGCAGGGGTGCCTTGCCCGGGTATAACGCCAACGCCTATCTGACCATATTTAGTGCGAGCCACCTCAAAATAGCAACCCTTTCGATGTTTCGACTAAAACAGTTTGCCGAGGATTGTACCGACGACCAACGCTTTACAGCATTTTTTTCAGCCGAGATTTGCTTTTCAGAACAAAAATATAAGTCAAGGATGTTCGTAAAGTGATTATGACAGTGTCTCTCGGCGTTGCTCTTCCTGTAACCGCGACACCTCGAGATCGTCGAAGAAATCTTCCGTCACCATTTGCGGTCATCAGTGGTGCAAAAGTGCTGTCCTAATTTCATCACCGTATTACTGCAAGTCAAAGGAATTATCGCGATCATTCAGACTGATATCTCTTATTATCTACATTATTACAATTATTACATACGATAAATTTACGAATAAATAAGAAAAATTAATTTTTTCTAAAAGTTTGTAACTCGAAAAGACAAAAATTATAAAAATTGTGGTATTAATATTTAGAAGGTCTACTGAATATCTGTAAAATTTGCAAATTTTATATTAGACTTTGATATTCATATTATGTGTGATGTAACAATAAATAAATTTATTGTGCGATGAAAATTGTAAAAACTATAAAAATAAACATTACATATAATAACGAACAAGATACAGTAGTGAGTCAAAATTTTCAAAGATTATTCATTCCAGATGAACGTGAATTTCCGCTTTGATTTCCATCGGAATAATGAAAGCACGTGGTTACTAAAAATAACTCCGATATTTGAGAAGAGAACACATTAGAATATTCAGTATACCTTATCAAATTTTCGATATATATATTATCATTCCATCTTCCTGTATTAATTACAGGAATTTAAATAACTAACAATTCCTGTATTTATATAATATCTATTGAATTTATTTTATTATTATAAAATTCAACTCATGAGCGAAGGAAAAAATCAAATTTTTTATCAAATCAGAAAAGACAATTAATTATTTACCACTATTGTACTTCTAATAATAAACTAGTACGACAGAATTAATTGTTCATTATTTATTATGGCTTAGAGCCTGGCTTTAAGATCACTATATAGAAACTCGTTCGTTTCCGTAAAAGTTCAACGTAATATTGAAACACATTAAATAATTAATCACTTCAATAATCAGACTCTGTATCTTTATTTTACAAAGATACATAAAAATCTTTAATTTGACATATTCCGATAGATATTGCTGAGAATTGCTAATGAATATCTAACAAGTTTAAATGACACAGTGTCCTAAGACAGCTTACGATACGACGTCTTGTATTTCATGCTCATCAATGAACACTTTGAACAATTTCTGTGAAATACAATACAAATATATGTAGTGTGGTCTAGAGAGAGTCATATTAGAAGTACATATTTAAATCGTTTTTCTTATTCTAATGTCACTGGAATTCCGTTCACATATTTTGCAATATTTCGTACGTATCTATACATATTATAGTAATGCATTTTTTTAGATATTTTTGTTTCATTTATTTTTAGGAAAAAATGTTTGCATCATTCTTCTATCGAGCTACGAATACTAATTACAATAACAATATCAATGTAGCATGTAAAATAAATTAAATATATTATTTTATTTGGGTTCAATATACCTTGGGAATAAAGTTCCCAACTTTTAATTTTAATCTAACAACATTGAGTTGTGCGTTATTTTATTTTCGTTATTTTATCGATATTTACGTTATATAAACACAATACATAACGTAACGTGTAACGTGTTTCTAATCTATAATCTTTTATAAAGTATTTCTATAAATGACGCCTACAACTTCGTATACTTTCTCAATAAGAAAGTCACGTACCATTTTTCGTCTTCACGGTACTCGGAGTACCGTACTCCCACCACAGCCGCTCAGAGAAATAAGAAAGTACAAACAACGTTGCCTTGACTGGTTTTCATTGTAAGGTAACAGCTTGTAGTATAGTTTAGTTAGATCACAAATGTTAGATCACAAACAGTTAACAAGTAAGACTTAAATTATTTCAGACAAAATGATTTAAATTTGATTTTATGATACGACAAAATGTGGTGGCTATTTTTACTAAACTATGGTGAGTGAAAGTACATATAAAAAGGAAATATATATATATATTACTTTGAAACTGTTCTTTTAAAATTGTGGAAAATTCGCTAAAAAAAGTATGAAAATAATCGAAGTAATAAAAATTGCTGAATAAACTTACCTAAATCAATCTAAATCGATCTAAGTCAATGAATTTTGTGTACTTATTTTCTTGTAGTTACGATCGGATCGTCATTACGTCTCGCTGCGTACATATCTTCTGGCGGGCTTCATGGAGAAATTCGATTTGAAAAAGCCTCAGAAACATCCGTAAAGATTCGATTTTCACTTCAAACGACTCTTCAGTACCCAGACCAACAATGGCTTTGGTCAGTTACTCAATTCCCTGTTGATTACACACGTATAAACGATAGATGCAGTAGACAATATATTGGAGAAAGGTATTTTTCTTGTTTTAATTTAAAAATTTATTTTTCCGACATGTTAGTGAGCACTCATATTAAAAAACACTTGTATAAAATAAATGTAGCATTATCGATTTAACGGAACTTGTTGGACCAATTGATATGCCCGGAAATGAAACAGGATCAGTGGAAATTTCAGGCATAAGTTTAACCGGAGAAATGGGTTTATGGGGGAAAGGTCTAATACTTCAAGACACATATTCATCTAGAACTATTTGTGCTTCGATAACGGTAATTATTCAAGTATAAAAATACAAAGAGTAAAGAAGAAAATTAACACCTCACATTATATAAGTTATGATTTTAAATATTCTTAGGTATTAGAAAAGAACGTGGAAAAATTTGCGGAAGCACGTTTCCTCGAAAGTGTAGCGGGAAATGTATGGTTTCGATGGTTGGGTGGTCATGGTGGTGATAATACTAGCGATACAATAATTTATATAAATTTGTATCATGTTAATGACAAAATACAATTACAAGATACAAAATACACAGAACATCATTGGAAAATTTATGTAACGGACATTTTTGACATCAGTAAAGGTACAATTTATATATTATATTTTATAAAATATATTGAATTTGAAATGACTAATTTATTTTCATTAAGTTATTTTTATTTAATATTTATTATTCAGACAAATCAAATTGCAACATTTTACAAACCGTATTTGATCCTGATAATGCTGGTAATGGTAAAGCAATTGGTGACATTGATGAGCGTTTGGGCAAGATAAAAATAGCTGTAGGTCATCATAACAAATATAAAACTGTATACAAAGATTCAAAATTGTCTCTATTACCTTCTACTGATTTGCTTGGACCTCATCGTCAATTATATTTAGTTATATTTCACCCAAGACATGATGATTCCATTTTACTGTGCAGTAAAATTAATCATAGAAAACCTATCTTTGCCAAGTAAGTAAAACTTATTATGTAAAGATATTATTTTCTAAATTATCTTTGATTAAAAATTTATATAATTGAAGATTATTTATCAGATTACATTTTATAATATTTGAACTATTTAGAACTTTAATTAATGCCCATGGTATTAAAGGAGAAGTATCCCTAACTCAAGTAACTCCATTTGATCCAACATGGGTTAATGTATCATTAACACCAATTAATGATTTAGAAACACGATTACGCTATGCTACTAAAATAAAATCATATAATATTCATGAATTACCTCCAGATCCAATAAAAGTTTCAAATAATTCTACTGAAATATGTGAAACAACTAAAAAAATATATAATCCAAGCAATATTAATATAACGGATGTACCACCAGCAGGTAAATAAATAAAACTGTTACTTTATTTCAGTTTACTTATTTAACAATATCCATATAATGTATATTAGGACTTGGAACTCAAGATCAATATGCTATTGGTGACCTTTCTGGAAAACTTCAAGGTCGTAAAGAAGGATCATATCATTATGATATCTTACCAGGGAGTGCGAAACTTAGTGGAATATATTGGGATACGTATCTTCCACTTTCAGGAATGTATAGTGTAATTCACAGAAGTCTTGTTCTTCACAAGTATTTATTTACACTTACTTTCTATAGTTACTGCTTCATTCTCAGTCTTACTATTATATTTAAAAAAATCGCGCATTCTTCATCAGGTATAATGAAACTGACAATAAAAGTATCATACCATGGATTTGTGGCACTTTGAATCTTTATTTGCCAGACAATATTGGACAAATACAAATGATAACTGCACAAGTAATATATAGATATCCTATTGTTGGAAAAATAATTTTCCGCCAACCCAAAAATGATCCCCAAATGGATACTACTATTATAATTGAAAATTTAGTTCATGCAGATGGTAATGCTTTAAATAATTCCGAGCTACACAGGTATAATATTTCAAAATACATACTATAAAAAATTATTATATCAAATTATTCAATTTGATAATGAATATATAGATGGATGATCCATGAAAATCCGCCAGGCAAAGATTATTATAACTGGACAGGCAGATGCCTCAGTACTGGTGAACCTTATAATCCCTACAAAGTACAATAAGTCTAATTATATTTGTTTTTTATACATAATACATGTATAATGCTTTTCTAAATATAATACTTTTCTAAAAATATTATTCTTAAATTTATTAGGTAGAATGGAATTCAAGTTTCAATGAATATTGTTCAATGTCAGAAGTATCATTATGTCGTGTAGGTGATTTAACAAGACATGGTACAATCGATATTGCTGGAAGAAAACTTTATGGGATCTTACTAACTCGAAGACTCTTCACAGATATAATGTTACCTTTATCAGGTCCCCATAGCATATTGGGTAAAAGTTTAGTGATATATGATAACCATGGACCTCGCATAAGAGGAGAAAGATTAGCATGTTCAATGTAATTCGATAGAAGAAAGAGACTTTATAAAAAATATTTCTATTATACATTCTATCATTGTCATTAAAATATCAACAATTCTATATAGAATTAGTGAAACATATCGCCGCAAAGCGGTAGCAAGAGATTGGTTTGGAAATGGAGAAACTATTTCATTAAGAGGAAAATTAGAATTCTTACAACAAAATGAATATGACATAACAAATGTAGAACTAAATCTTGATGGCCTACATGGAAAAATGAGTGGATATCACGTACATGTGGTAATTTACTATTTACATCACGTAAATAATAAAATTACATTCTCATTTATTTTAATAAAAGTTTTTACATTTTAGACCCCAATTGAACAAGATTTAGAATTTCCATGTGAAAGTACATCCTTATACGGACATTGGAATCCATTTGATGTCAATGTAAATAACATACTATCTCCAGGAGAAGGAACAACTGATCAGTATGAAATGGGTGACCTCAGTGGAAAGTTTGGTACTTTAGAAAACAGAAAAAGATATGTAAAAACCTTCAATGATACAATGCTTCCTTTATTTGGACCAACAAGCATACTTGGTCGAAGCATAGTGATTCATAAAAAAGAAAAAAATTTAAGGTGGTTATATTAATATTTAAATTATATAAAGATAGAAATACACATCTGATAATTCTTATTTTTAAGATGGGCTTGTTCAACTATAGAAAGAGGATATTCACCATCCGAAGCCATAGAGTTAAGAGCAATTGCGTCTTTTCATCATCCACAAGGTTTTGCATATGGCTACATAAAAATGGTATTATAGATTTAAATAATATTAAAACATAAAATATATTATATTATATTATAACATTAATAATTATAGACACAACTTATTCATCAAGATGGTACCCAAAGTGAAACAACAATTGAAACAAAATTACGACATCCTGGTAAACATAATCGCAATATTGTGAGTACATAACAAAATACATAATAAACACATTAAAAAGATTTAATAACTTTTAAAGCATATAAAAATATATTATTATAGACCAAAAACCATAATTGGGCAATATATGTAAATCCTGTCGGAGTAGATGCAGCTGTTCATGTTAAAGATACTAGATGTGTAGCTGGTGGATATATATGGAATCCTTATTTTACACAACTAGCTGATCCTTTAAACGTAATATCAATCAGAAATACATAAGGTTTTAATCTTAACTAATAAAAATAATTTTGTTTATCAGGATAATTTGTACAAACAAGAATGTGGTCCTGATTTACCACTTAGATGTTATGTAGGAGATATATCAGGTCGATTAGGTCCTATTAATATAGGATTAGAAAGACAAGTTTTTACAGATTCAAATTTCCCATTAGGAGGACCAGTATCTGCAATGGGAAGATCTATTGTTATTTTTGACACAAATTTTGGGACCAATAGATTTGCATGTGCTAACATTGAACCTGATAATGATATTGTAAAATATACAAACATAAGGAAACCACCTCGTTTTGTAGTGTAAGTACACATTCAACAGTATTATTTATCAGTATTATATTATCAGTATTATATTTATCATTATTTTTTAATACAAGTATCTCTTTAATTCTTATACAGGGCACAATTTTTAGAAGATGTACGAAAAATTATGGGTATCCCAGATTGGATGCTATCTATAGATATTAGAAAAACAAAAATTTTACACAATGGAGCCTGCATTCAGTTTTTAATACATTTTAAGGGTAATTGAAAAAATATACAATTTGTGTGAATTTTATACGTATAATTATAATTATTCTATAATTAAATTACACATTAAGGTCCAATTGCTAACACCTTAGAACAAGATTTCAACAAACTTATGTCAACTGGGCGATTAGATACGCCTAGTTTGTACATTCCAGGATACATCCCTAAAAAGCAAAAAACAACTTTAGGTTACCGCCAATGTGGGAATCAGGATCCGAATGATGAAAGTAATAATTAATGTTCTATACACAAATAAGTATATTAATTCATTTTTTAAAATAACAATTTTTTACACCATTTTCAGATTTCAAATTTTTTCTACAAAATATATCTTCACAACTGTGTCCAAAACTAATATTAACTGTCACTATATGTATTATTATGAAATTACTGTAACACCAAATTACTAAATTAAGTTTAAATATGAAAGACACAATAAAAATTTTAATTATTGGTTAACAAAAAGTACACCTCTCTGTACACGTCAAAGGGCGATGATTATAGAGTGCGCAACCATCGCGTTCTAATGGTTCTTTCCATGGAACGATTGCTAGAAGACTATAAAATATAGTAACTTTTATTTGGTGTATATAATTTGTGGTTAACCTGTTGTTGATATACTATTGTATAAATATATTTATATATACACATTTTACAAGAAGTTTGTTATTTATATAAGGAATAATTCATGAAAGAACAGATTAAAAACAATTATACTGCATAAGTGTATTTATTACAGACATTATACAGCATTATTAAAATTATAACATGTATTCCCTAGAAGATGGTAAATATATATTTACACTCATAATATTTATATTATCATTGAAAAATATGATACAACATTATACCTAAACTATTTATTATTTATTACTGCTATTAATGATACACTACTTTTTTTATTTTATGTATAATCAATCTCAATAATTACTAAAAACTATAATTACATTTTTACTTAGATCAATATGATGATGAAGATACAGAAGAAATATCATCAAAACTTTGGCAGGAAGCCTGTTGGATTGTTATTAATGCTTATT